CTAACCTAATTTGATTTAATTTCCTGCTTGCTCCCATACTCTTGAATATTCTTCTTTATTCAAGCACCAATTCCTTTTTTATATAATTTATGGGCAATTCTTCCAAGAAAACTTTGCAGCAGAGAATCATAATGATAAAGCCCTTGTCCATCCATTTATTACATCTAGGCTCAACTAGGGCAACTCCCCGCTTGTCGGCCTTCCCAATTCTTCCCTCCACAAATTGCAAATCATCCAGAATTCTGCAGCTCATGTCGTCTCCCGGACCAAGCTCCGTGACACTATCCCTTGCCTGGCTCCACCGACTCCCCATCCCTCGCAGTATAGAGTTCAAAATCCTCGTCCTCGCCTTCAAGGCCTTCAGCTTCTCTGCCTCCACCCTCTGGAACTCCATCCCAGTCCCTTCATCTCACTCCCTCCCTTTTCTCCTTGAAGGCATGTCTCAAGTTCCCCCTCTTTGACCGCGCCTTCGGCCACCCTCCTACCCCTACCCTCCCTGCCCTCAACGCTACTGATCCCAAACTCCCTGCTCGGGTTCAAATCCCTGATTGTCCAGCGCCTTGGGATGTCCTTCTGATGTGAAAGGTGCTTTACAAATGTAAGTTGCTGTTGTTAATAATCCTTACATTTGATATAATGCCTTATCACATCTTCGAGACATCTCAAAGCGCTTCACAGAATATACTGTTTTGTGGACGAAACCTAGCAACAATTGCACAGTAGTGTCCCGCACACAGTCATGGATTGAGTGATCAAATTATTATTTTTTTTAAAAGAAATTTGAAGGCTTTATAACCCCCGGAAAAGCGATCCACTGTTACATTTCACCCAAACGCCCACTTTGGTGTTAACTGCTAAGTAATGGATTCTTCCATCATTTGAAATGAACTGTAGCTAGATGTTTGATGATATGAGAGGAGGACATCACAACAATGTATTCTGCAATTAGGTACAACAGGTAGAGTGGATGATCTTATAGGATAATAATAATAATCCTTGCATTTGATATAGCGCTTGTCACGTCGGGAGGACGTCCCAAAGCGCTTCACAGAATATACTGTAAAGTGAATTGACTGTATATTTGTGGGCGAACGCGGCAGCCAATTGCGCACAGCGGTGTCCCACAAACAGTCGTAGATTGAAAATGACCAATTTATTATTGTTTTTGGTTTTGGAGGGATTATTATTAGGCGTGTGGAGTAAGGAAACTTGCCCAAGGTTTCGCCCTCTGCCTGGAATTGAACTCAGGTCTCTCACCTGCAAAGCGAGCACTCTAACCACTGAGCTACAGGACTCCACAAGATCAAATGGACCAAAGGGCCTTTTTAATTTGAACCTCTTTTGTGAGCTCCTTGTCCTCATAGCATTTTCATTCTGTCTTACAGAAATTACAGTTCTTAAGCAGGTGACCATAGTACGCTGTGCAATACCCACAAATATTGCCTATCCAGGTGTAGCAGGGATTCCGACTTTACCTAACTAGAGGCACTGATACTGGCAACTATTAGGGTGTTGTCCAAAATAATTCAACTAACTAGATAGGAACATTAGGCACAGATGTTTTTTTCTTTCTTGAAACAGACGTCTTTGATTTAAAACAAATATTCCAGTGAACTTCAAGTCACCGAGTAGGCTCAGGGCAGAACGATGGCATGATTAACAGTAAGCACATACAACCTATCAAACAGTTTAATTCAATCTAAACACATTTGTAACTTGTGTGGACAATGAGTGATTTCAACAGGATAAACAAGAACACAGAATGTCTTTTAAATAACCAGGAGAAGGAATGAATCATACTCTGTGCCATGATCATGTGGTAATTCACATGAATACATTTCTCCTTGAAGAACATTTATTCATCATGTGAGGTTACAATATTCAATTCGACAACCCCTTCTCAAGTTAGCCATGTGATGTCCATAGACTTGCATCAAAATGTATACATCAATACAAGAAAAAAACAATATTCACATCCGATACTTTTATACGGAACTGACAATCTAATATTATTAGTTTAGCAAGAGGCCTGGTAATTTGTTAATTTCTCAGTATTTACAGTTGCACCCATTATTCCCTGTTCCAGTTTATGAAAAAATAATGTTCAGGACAAACTGAACTCCATCTGCTCAACATTAACATCAGATGACATTCTTCTTCATTAGAGCCAGTCATAATTTAATCATTTTCTAAATGGGCTTGCAGCAGATGCAAGTACCAAAATGGTTGATAAACAGAATTCAATAGGTATATCCCCCAGGAACCCAACGGAATCCATTAATATCCTGGTGTCAGTGGGAAAGCTGGTTGGGGAATTTGGGGGCAGTCCAAAATAGATTAGACCATTTTCAATAGCACTATATCTTTAGTGTCAATAGCAGAGCTTCAAGGTAAGCAAATGACCACAGTTAACTTCCTGTTTACTCAGCAGATAGCAGCTTTATGTATTCCATCAATCTGAAATATCCCTTATAAACAGCTGACAATGTTATTCCAAGTAGATCTGTGGGATACTGCTGTGCGCAATTGGCTGCCACGTTTCGCCTACACATATACAGTTAATTCACTTTACAGTATATTCTGTGAAGCGCTTTGAGACGTCTAGAAGATGTGAAAAGTGCTACATCAAATGCAAGGATTATTATTATTATTAGATCCACTTTTTAAAAGTTATTTTACCTCCCTGCATTTTCGGAAAACATACTTTTGTGCACAACACACTCATATATTACAAATGGCTGTGGAGAACATCCAGAGTCGATGCACCATATTCATTCTTGGGATGGAGAGGTTTAGCTATAGAGGGACACTGGGCAGATTTGGGTTATATTCTTTGGATCTGAGGAGGATAAGGGATTATCTGATTGAGTTGTTTAAAAATACAAACCGAATTGACAAACTAGAAAGTGTATAACTCTTCCCTATGGTAGAGGAATCCAAAACAAGGGACATAATCTGAAAATTAGAGATACATGAATTAGAAGCAAGATTGGAAAACATTTCTTCACACAGGGATGTAAAAATGTGAGAAGACGTTCCATGGTGCTGAAATGAAATGCATTGTCCCATAAGTCCATAAAGGCAGAATGAATTGGGATGTTTAACAGGGAGATGGATGGTTACTTGGGAAGTAAGAAAAGCAGGAAAAAAATCTGGCATGATATAATAAAGTGGCAGAATAGAGTATGCGCTGACAGCCTCTTAAATTTTTGATGCACAGTTTATGAATATTTATAAATATTGCATGCCTGTTGTTATTGGGCCATTATTTTCTTTTGACTGGACTCTTTACCCATGACAACAACAACTTGCATTTATATAGCACCCTTTACACAGGGTAACGTCTTGGAACGCTTAACAACGACGCAGCTGGATTATGATGAAATGGCAGGACATTGGGATTAAAAGATAAAGTGGTAATAAAATGGTGGAACAAGATTGATGAGCTAAATGACCTCCTCTATTGCTGTTTTCCTATGTTCTAAACTTATCTCCCTGGGACAGTATTCCCACTTTTTGGAAAACAGGCTTTCAGAGCGGGAGTGCGGTAAACAAATTAATTCCTATCAAGATCACGGTTTCTAGCCTTTTAACATTAATCTTAATGAATAATAAAATAATCCTTGCATTTGATATAGCGCTTTTCACATCTTCGAGACGTCTCAAAACGCTTCACAGAACATACTGTAAAGTTAATTGACTGTATGTATGTTTGTTGGTGAAACGCGGCAGCCAATTGCACACACCGGTGTACCACAAACAGTCATGAATTGAAGTGACCAATTTTTTTTGAGAGATTATTATTGGTCGTGTGGAGTAAGGAAACTTGCCCAAGGTTTCGCCCTGTCGGGAATTCAACCTAGGTTGATCTTACACTTCAGATAGCATCAGGCTCAGCAAACGATGAGGATAGCTGATCAAAAACAGCCCTCATGCAGTTTATAGTAATTATATTATTCCTGTGGCATTACTTCAAGACTAACCTCAATTTGAGAATTCCAAATAACAGTAATGCGCCAACCTTAAATTACAATAATTTGATATGTCATCTGAAACTTTAATCAGATTACTTATAATCTTCCTTAGCAATTGATTTGCAAATGTTGGTGTTATACAATGCAGACGTAAAAGGATGAATATATCCATCGCTCTGCAAAATTAAAGAAATTAAGGCACAAAACAGACTTGAGAAACTACAGACAATTAGAGAACAGGAGGAGGCTCTTCAGCACTCGTGCCTGTGCTGGCTTTCTGACAGAAGTATCCCTTTAGCCCCTTTCTCGTGTACAGGATGAATTTAGCACACGGAAATTCATTGGAAAGGATTCAACACTGGATATTAGGTTACTAATGTTTTACAATGTGGAACATGCATACAAACATCAAACGCAAGCTACACTCAGACCATCATTGGTTTGCATATGCAGACCCAGGACCTGTTTTTGACTCTTGAATCTGTGGTTTGAATCATTTGTGAAATTGAATGCTAAATTGAATTATAATACTTCATTACACAATGCTATTGGGAAGGAAGCAAGATGTTAAAGTGCTGGTCACAGGAAACACTTAACATTGTTGTTTATAAAAGAAATCATTTATTTTGTGTTTGTGGAAAAGAATGATAAACATCTACCAACATCTACAGATTGGTGAAATGCTCCACAGTTTCAGTCTCTAGATGGAAGAGACATTGGTATTGCTCAGTTATTCATGTTCATAATGAGGGAAAAAAAATTGTACACCTATGCAACCAACCCAACTCAGTTTATTTCACATTTTAAAGCAATTTTTTTGCACACCATTCAGCAATGAACTTTCAGGTATAAAGTAGGGAACCCCATCAACAGCAGTCTAAGCTATACTTAGTTTTGTACATGTAAACTAACTGTGCTAGTATATAGAGGAGGAAAGGTGTAAAGCAGAAAGTTGTATAGGTAAGAGAGTGGTTTCATTTCATACACAATATCCAACACCCAATGAGAAATAATAATTGTACTTACAGGCCTGCGGAGGAAGAAAAAAGACAATGCCCCAATCAAGGGCATATCACCAAGCAGGGGTTCCAGAATCACTCGAATTATGCCATTAAGCTGTAAATAAAATACGTCAAATAGTTTTACAAAAGTATCCTTTTGACACAACACAAATTCCCACTTAAGCTTTATTCACCAAAGAATCAAGAGGGCAGCACTTGAACATCTTGGATAAGGTACTGATCCTGTAATGAATGGCGACTGTGAGGTCTACGTGGTTGATGCTTCTTGTGCTACCACATCATGCCAAGTCACTCAGCTGCATGAAGGGTATTTGCTGACCGTGCAGCCTAAGGAGTGGGTCTGGACAATGACTGGCAGTGAATTCAATGGCATATACTATAGTCAAATAAGGCTGAATTGGATATAAGTCCATAAACCTCTTCAAAGGTGAGCCCCATTCAATTGTTTATAGTCCTTATGTGCAAGTTACATTCAGCTTCTGTTCAAATCTACATAACAGCGTTCTGACTGGAAACAAAGGAAGAACCAAAAATGACAAAGGCCCAAGTAGCCCAAGGTTTCCTTTTCTTAGTTTCCAATTTTTATGCTTCTCTACTCTACAAGCCTCGAGTGTTTTGATGCATCTCGAGGTGCTTTGGGTGCTACAGCATCATCTGATTTTGAATGAATTCACAATCATGAAGTATTGAACAAACAAATTTCACCCAACCCATCAAAACTGCTCCTTCCATAATCCACCCTATTGTGGCCTCTGCCCCCAACCTTCTTAACAAATCTCCTGCACAAACATACAACCATATCCCGATCTTTAAAGGTACTCAAGAAAACTACAACATTTGTCCATTGCTACTTCTCCACTGGCTATCTGCCTTTCTCTTCCCCTTATATACTCAAGTCAGATCCTACCTTGGTTTCAAGTTAAGAAAACATCAAATAAATCATTTTCAATTGCTCCCCCCTCAAAAAACTCCCCACTGTCAGATATAATGTAATCTGCATTTTACGTGAAGCCACAGTACCTGTATACTTTTCACACCAGCTCTGCAAAAGTACCTCTTGATCTCAAGATCTATCTCAGAGTTTCCAACATAGCTAAGGGGAGAGAAGAAAAATGCATAAATAGTGCAGGACTTGATTAACAACAAACTACATTTGTTGCGCCTTTCACCTCAGGAGGATGTCCAGAGGCAGTAGTTATACCCTGTACAAGGTGACAGGTAATTTGGCCTTAAATCATCAATCTTGCTGAGAACCTACATAATAATGGGTGTTGAAAATGAAAATATCATACTGCTTATCAGTCTTCATCCGGTAGTTTCTAATAGCACCATTTCTGTTATGCGAGACAAAAGGGAAGCAGCACTGAACTTAAACGCTGGCAAATATCAATCTCACCAGTCTAGGAGTAATGGAACACAGAGAACTGGAGTTTGAACAGACACATTGCGAAGGGATTTGGGGAAATCGATAGCCTGCCGACGGGTGTGGGGTTTGGAAAAAATACACTGCAGCAGATTGGAGAAAGCATTCTGTATCCACATAGTCACTCAGCAGAACACTCATATATTTACATATACACACACACATATCTTAGTGTGAAATTCTACCTCAAGTATTAATTTTAAATAGGCATTAAATCCTATGCTTCCTTTTAATTAATGTATTTTACTTGCCTGAATGACAACAATATAAAATTTCCTCTCTCTCAGTACCGCAGAGGGAATAAAAAAAATCTTATTATAATAATTCTTGTATTTGATACAGCGTCTTATCACGTCTTCCAGACATCTCAAAGTGCTTCACAGAATATACTGTTAAGTGAATTGACTGTATATTTTGTGAGTGAAACACGGCAAACAATTGTGCACAACAGTGTGAAATTAATTACCATATTGTGAATTTCCATTCCATTCATGGAATACCTTCTATGGGTGTATAGTCTCCCTTCCCCCCACACACACAATTTGTTCAAATGTTTTTCCGCAAAGGGTCGCTGCCATCGAGCCAGTTGACAGTGCTTCTGATCCTGCCACCCTGCAGATCCCAGCCTTTCAGTGCTGGATTGGGGACTGAATACAGTTTTACCTCAACTAATTATCGCACCATACAATGCATTTTTCACCCCATGTGTTTTGAAAATCAAGGAATTCAGAATTCAAAGGGCTGGAAAAGCATTTAAGAGGTTCAGGGAGTCGCATCCATAGCCTTGTAACAATTACAGCTGTTGTTTACTCTTATTTTAAAAAAACAAAAAAAATAATATTGCAGCAGCTATATATAGAGCACTTTTTATACAAGCTTTATGCTACCAATTAGAAAATTAAAAGGAAATGTGGATAGTTTGAAGTCCCGACAACCATTCAAATGTAGCACAAGCTTAGCTGGATTGGACTGGTCCATTACCTCACAAAGTAATAAATATTTATGTTGTATCAAGAGTGCGGAGGAGGTTCAATCCCCACATATTACTTAACAAGATCGTGAGCTCTTCAGTAACAATTGTTGAGGCCTTGTTCTGTCGAGCATTAGGTGCAATTTCCTGATATACTTGAAAACTACTCAACCACTCAGTATAAAACTTCATTTAAATAATTCCATGCAAAAGGCCAATTGGGTGCAATTTAAATCTCAAAAAGGCTGTTTGCTTATGAACAGCTCTGCCTCAAACCTGCACCAGGAAGCGGTTACACCAGAGCTTCTGTAACTCCAGGTTTAAATTCCATTATGCATGCATGTATGGATAGTACATGCTTATCTGAGCTCCCTGTGAGGGTGGGGGGGGGAGGACTCGCAAAAAGCACACAAGTGGGATAATCCGTTTGCACAGAATTACTATACTTAAAAATTCACTTTGCAAAAGCAAACTACTAGTATTGAAAAAAAGGCTTATTGGGAAAACACAGTGTAACTAGTACCTCGGAATATAAAGTGTGTCTCCTACAGGGAACCCGGTGTACATTATACCAACTCATGAAAACCCGCTCTAAGGTGATGTCAGCTAGATTCTCATGGTCAGATGTGATATAAGTTTGGAATGCACTGCCTGAAAAGGTGGTCAAAACAGATTCAAATAACTTTCAAAATGAATGGGATGTATACTTGAAAAAAAATTGAAAGGCTATGGAGAAAGAGCGGAGCAGTGGGACTGTTTGCATTGATCTTTCAAAGAGTCCGCACAGGCCCGATGGGCCGAATGGCTTCCTTCTATGCTGTTGGATTCTATGATTCTACATGCATGCGGATCCTTGGATGAGAAACACTTTATATCCTGTGGACGATGTGTGGTGGAATTAAAAAATACACCATTCTGCTTTCTAATGTCTTCCTCTCCAAATATTTATTTCACTGATTAAATAAAATCCTCAAGTCTGCTGGTCATCTTGTGCTGAGCAGTCTGTAAACAACCAAGCCGAGCACTTGTGTGTTTTTTCGAAACGGTTGTTAATATGATGTGGGGTGGGGAGGGGCATGGGGAAGTGATCCCATTCCTTGCTAACCACTAACATCCCTTCACCTTGCTGAAAAGTGTGCATGGAGATGTCAGGTGTGGGTAGGATTAATGGAAAAGTTAGTCATGAGTTACCTGATTTGAAGATCTAAGATAATCTGTCGATTGTCCACATTTTCGGTATATGTTTTTACCCCATTGATCCGCAAAGGCTGAAAAGAGACAAAACAGAAGCAATGAGCAACATTCATGCATTTCGAAATACCTCCCGAAAATATTACAATTTATGTAAAACCCACAAAAAAAAGCACACAAATTAGGGCTAACTGAAACACATAATTGAAGGCGAACTCCCTTAAAGATCAGGGATGATTGGTTGTCTTAGAACTCTTCCTAATTTCTAAGGAATGACCCCAGTGCTCTATCCTTGGCCCCTTACTCTTCCTCATCCACGTGCTCCCTCTTGGTGATGTCATCCGCAGATACGGGGTAAATTCCACAAGTATGTGGATGACTACTTCTCCTCCATCTGCGATTCCAGGCCTTCCAATGTTCTGTCGGCTTGCCTGGCAGACATCATAGAATAGAATCATAGAATAGTAGTATTATATGGCAGAGAAGGAGGCCATTCATCCCACTGTGCTCGTGCCAGCTTTTTCAAAGAGCTATCCAAATTAATCCCACTCCCCTGATCTCTCCCCATAACCTTACAAATTTGTCCTCCCCAAATAGTTCTCCACTTCTCTCTTGAAAGTTGTTATCGAATTTGCTTCCACCACTCTATCAGGCAATGCATTCCATATCTGAACAACTCGCTGTGTGAAAACATTTCTCCAAGACCAAAACACTGGGAAAAAGGCAATTCTCTTTTTAATGTCCACCTCATATTATGCAGAAGGAACATCTCATCTGAAGTATTGCAGATCCAGCAATGCAGACTCACTCTGCACCTTACTGGAGTATCAACCAGGTCTATGATCTCAAAGACTTAATGAGAAAGTTACAACCTTCTGACCAAGAGGTGAGAAATCTACCAGCTGAATGAGGCTGACTAAATTATTAACTTAGAATGCAAGAAAATGCTCGGACTTTGCAGATAACGCAATAGGAGGTATAACAAATGTAGCAAACCAACTATATAGTGGAGTCCTGTGGCTCAGTGGTTAGTGGAGTCCTGTAGCTCAGTGGTTAGAGCACTCGCTTTGCAAGCAAGAGACCTGAGTTCAATTCCAGGCAGAGGGCGAAACCTTGGGCAAGTTTCCTTACTCCACACAGAGCCTAACAATAATCCCTACAAAACCAAAAACAATAATAAATTGGTCTTTTTCAATCTATGACTGTTTGTGGACATTGCTGTGCGCAATTGGCTGCCGCGTTCGCCCACAAATATACAGTCAATTCACTTTACAGTGTGTTCTGCAAAGCGCTTTGGGACGTCCTCCCGACGTGAAAAGCGCTATATCAAATGCAAGGATTATTATTATTATTATTACTTTAATAATATTCTGGAGTATTTGGATCTTTTAGATAACTGGGATACTTGGTGAGAAATACAGTTTCTATAAAGATAAGCATACAATAATTATTATTCGAGCAAATAACCAAAAGAGAGAGATGGAAAATAATGAAGTGTGAAGGAACATTCTTTTCTATTATCTTTGGGACCCAAGTTGGAATCCAAGTCAAAATGCCTTTTTCCACTCTATGGCTGAAAGTGTTACTGCAAACAGTTTTGGTGATCACAATATGAGGGCCTGGGCCCTAAATGCAGTATAGAGGAAAGCAACGAGGATGATCCTCAGTGTTAAGAGGAATGAGCGACGAGCAATGATTAGACAAACTACGGCTCTTCAGTCTTGAGAGAAGATGATGCAGAGGGAACCTCACTTAGGTGTATAGAGCACGTGTCTCGCAAGCGGAAGGACCCAGGTTCGATTCCTGGGCAAGACAAAATCTTAGCCACATGCCTCTGTTTACCTAGCAGTGAGTAGGAACTTGGTTGTCAGTCGATTGACAGATCGCTTTCCGGGAGTAATAATCCCTCCAAAAAAAATCATAATAATTTGATCACTCAATCTACGACTTTGTGGGACACTGCTGTGCGCAATTGTCTGCCGTGTTTTGCCCATAAAACATAGTCAATTCAATTTATAATATTTTCTGTGAAGCGCTTTGAGATGTATTAATCGACATGAATTAAAGCACTATATCAAATGCAAGGATTAGTATTATATAATATTTATAACATTTTAAATGAGATTGGAAAAGTAAACTAAATCAATACTTTGAAGATGCAGCAAGACAGTAGAAAAAGAGGACATAGGTTTAGAGCTACAAAAGGCAATTTCAGGAAAAATACCAGGACGTTTTTTCTTTACTCAGAGAGTATTCAACGATTCAACAGATTTCCAGAAAAGGTGGTTGAGGAAAGGACTTGACTTATTTAAAAAATCAGCTTGATGCTGCGATGGAAAGGGGGAGGGGGGAGATGTAGGTGTGTGTTCTGGAGAGATGAGATCCGATGGGCCAAAGGGCCTTCTTCATCCACACTAATTTGTGACCTTGTGTCATGTAAAACGACATTGGAAGGAATCTCAAGCCAGTTCCCGGTGGGTGTACTGTGCACAAAGTGGCTTTGTCATAAAATTGTCAATTTTGCTGAGAACCATCGTAATAGCTGGCATCACTGAGAGGTTACCAAGGCAACAAATGGCATTGATCAAAGCTTCTCCAGCTCAACACATAAACTTCTAAAATGTCAACTAGCAAGCTGTGCGAGGCCTAAGCAATACTGAGAATTACAAGTAGGTTTGACGGTCTCGCTGACATGCTACAAATCCCGACTTCATTTATTAGTCTTCATCTGTCTGATGTACATTCAACATACGTAAACAGTCAAAGCGAGGCCAAGGTGCGACATTAAATCATTTCATTTGAGGCAATCAAAAGGCAAAACAACTGCATATAATCCTTTTGTATTCAAAGCAATCGTTGATTTCTTCTAAATGGGTGGTCTGCCATCCATTTAATCTTGCAATTTATAAGTGCTTTCATTTGAAACTCAGCATGCCAGATAAAAATAAAATAAAATGAAGATATTAAATCAAGACTTTATATAGTAACAATCTACCTCCAACTCTGTCCCTCTTCTAATGGAAATCAGCATCTTATTTCCTTTTATTGATAATAAAGTGCTGATCCACTTTAGGCTTTAGTATATTATGATAGTTTCATTTGATATAGTGTTTTACCACATCAGAATATCTTACTGCTTCAAGGCATTTGCTATGTAAGCAAGCATGGCAATAAATCTGTGCCAGCAAATATGCTCCAAACAGCAATAAAATGAAGGCTGGATTTGAATGTAAGTGGAATATTGGCCAGGAAACAGGGAAAATTCCCACTCAATCTTCACTTAATCTTCATAATAATGATCTCTACCATCCAAAAAATGGAACACATTGGACTTCGGTTTAACATTTCATTTCGAAAGTCAGCACAAGCAATACATTTTCCCAGTGACTCAGGTGTGGGACGAGAATAAGAGCACACGTCCTGGTGTGGAGCCTGAATCACAAAATTCTGATTAAGGAACGACAGTGATACCAACTGAGCCAAAGCAGTAATAAATTGGACAGGAGAATAACTCAATTGGATCTATATGGTTAGAACAGCCAACACAAAAAGGTATGATTTTCTCAGATTTTACATATAATTACATAGAATGTTACAGCACAAAAATAGATAATTCAGCCCAATAGTCCTTGCCAGTGTTTATACTCCGTAGCTTCTACTGCTCCTAATCTCTTATCCCATATCCCTTTATTCCCTTCCCTCCCAAGTTTTTTCTTAAATATGTTGATCTTCTCTGCTTCAATCAGTTTCTGACAGAGAATCCCAATTTTCACCATCCTCTGTGTATGGATGTTCCTCTTAAACTCCTTAGATCTGCTACTGGCTATCATAAATTTATCACAGAAGAAATAGAAGAAATCATCCTTTCAATGGGGCAACAGGTTTCATTCCACAGGCTATGGGGGTCAAATAGTACCGCAGTGCATAAAGTAGACAAGCTGCGGGAAGCTTGCTAGCCAGTTCTCTCAATGGCAAGCTATGTGATTTTTAGCTGGTTGAGTGACATGCACACTCTGGTGTCCCCAAGACTTATTCTTTACCAACCTGCCCTAATACTCCCTGGAATAAGATAAGCAGTGTGTCCCTCCAATGTATACATATATGGTACTTTGTCTGGGTTGGATATTCTTAAGCATGGTGATGGATTTCCACATGTATCAGACATCCAGCGGATAAAAAAAGATTCCATTTGCCCACAAAATATACAGTCAATTCACTTTACAGGATATTCTGTGAGGCACATTGAAACGTCTCAATGTGATAAGGCGTTTTATCAAACGCAAGGGTTATTATTACTATTACAAGATAAAATAGTAGCATTTACCTTGTCTCCCAGGTTAATCTTTGTGAAGCTGAAGGTGCTGAGGTGACTGTTTGCTCCCCTGACAGCGGGCTCGATGGTCTCTTTCAGCAGCTTCTCCACAAACTGGCAGATGTAGGGCCACATGTGTTTCACCGTCTAAAAGATAAAATAAAACAAATTTGTACCATAGAATTGGGATACAGAGCAAGAAAGCCATTTATAATTTCACTGTCACTGCATTTTACGGAAAATCCTGAAATGTGCTTTGAGCTATTTTTTTGGCGTGATAAGGCACCATATCAAATACAAGGATTATTATCGTATTGCAAGGTTGAAGAGAAAGCCATGTAGCCACCTTTCACAATTAGGCCAAAAAATTAATGCAACAGCTAAAATATAAATCTTAGGAAGCAAATCATAATATTTTAAAATTGAGTGAAGAGAAAAAAAAATCTGAGTAAAGTAATGAGCATAAACCAATCGACCTGATATTCACCTAAAGAAGTCATCCCTTGTTGGAACTGACCACCCAGCTAACATTACCATGTGGGATAGCTGAAAGGAACCACAAATAATATTTATTCTAGGATCTCTGAGAGCCTATCCAATGTTTACCTGAACCATACAGACTGGAAAGTGTGAAGTTTGATTCCAATTCTGTGCTTAGTTAGCTGATTTCAGTCAGGGCAACATTTGATATAGTGCCTTATCATGTTGCTGAAACGTCTCAAAGTGCTTTACAGAATATACTATAAAGTAAATTGACTGTGTATTTTGTGGGCAAAACATTGAATTATTGTTATTATTAAATTATGATGACAATATACATTGAATTTCGCTTATAACGTCGAGAAATCTCAAAATGCTACACTGCAAAATGTAATCATTGTATTTTGTAGGCAAATGCAGCAACCAATTTGTACACAGCGATGTCCCACAGAATGTTATAGACAGTTTTCCCCGAAAGATTGTTGGGCAAGACCCTGGGAGAGACTTTAAAGGGGGCTTTATGCTTAGTTTAGACAATGGGTCAGATCGTTACAGCACTCCTGCCAACACTGGCCGATGCTGTGATGGCATCATTTATGTGAAGGGATGACAATTTACGTGTGCAAGGGCGGAAACTTTAGACACAGAATTTCCCTATTGGCCTCTAAATCAAAATAACAGAAATGGATGCAATACAATACAGATTCATTTATATAGCACCTTTCACATCGGTAGGACGTCTCAAAGTGCATTCACAGTGCTAGATGGGTACTCAAGCTGTGGTGGAAACTGAGGGGGTGGAGATGACCAAAAGAAGTACGTTTTGAGATGTGTCTTCAGAGAGGGAATAAAAGCGAGGGAGGGACACAGGGAAAAAATAGGCTGAGAAAATAGGCTTGTAATATTCAACCACAGTTACTGGCCGTTCGTTTTCAGAACTGTGAACAACAGGCTTAAAAATGTAGACCAAAATAAAGAATTTTCCACAATTCTGCACCACCTTAAATTTTAAAACAATGATCTTATATGGCTAAGACCATGAGAAATTCTTGGCCTCTGATGGCATGACAAGATACTTTTGTCAGGTAATTGCAGCCAGCACAGGTATTTGTCGATGCTGAAAGTAATCATAATCAAAATAATTTATGTTTGATGCCAAAAGGATAAAGAAGTCAGGTTGTAGTACATTACATGATAATAATAAAATAATAAATAATATAACAACAATATAATAGCAATACATTATATAATAACAATATATTACATGATATTGATGATTGATGGATCACATCACTCTCTGTCTCTCCCTATTGACTTCATAGCCTATAGGGAAATAATTTTTCATATTAATCACAGTAAAGTAAGAAGCATATTACCTTGTTTATCCATTCTACTCTCTCCACATCCGGGAAGTGAACCTGCAATAACAAGAGATTATGTGTAAGTACAAAGTCCAAGAACCAGCCACAAGTGAGCTGAAACGGTAAAGTTTGTAGGGAACAAACTAGGGCTATTACTGAAGTTATTATTTTGTCATCATTCAAAGAGGATTTTAGCTTAAACACAATCTGGGGAGGTTGATTTTTAGCTCTAGTGGCACGCTTGTCAAACATCTCTCTTTGAAACAGGAGGTAACATACAAATTGAAGTTTGCTATTTGACAGGTAGCACCTTATGTACAGCGCTGAAGTGATCCAGTGCAAATTCACTCACTACTTTTATGCACATCAGCCATTCTCCCAATAATGAACTTTTTCTGTCTAAACATTGATAATCTCTTACATTTTAAACTTTACTTCACCTTGCACTACGCACAAAATCTCTGGCTAGAACGAGCTAAAACGGTGATTTTCTTTGAACAACAACTTGGATTTATTTATGCAGCACCCTTCACCAGGGTAGCGTCCCAGAGCACTTCACAGTGGCGGAGTCTGACAACGAGCCAGGGAGAGGGGAAGGTGACCGTAAGCACGATCGAAATGCAAGGTCGTTAGGTGGGATTTGAAGGTGTGGAGGGAGGGGGCAAGGCGGAGGGATTGAGGGAGAAATTTCCGGAGTTTCGGGACACAGTGGCTGAAAGCATGGTCACCGATGGTGGAATGGAGGGCCCGAGGGACAAACAGGAAGCCGGAGCCAGCTGAGCAGAGGCAGCGGGTGGGGGAGTGGGGTGGTAAACAGGTTGCATAGGTAGGGAGGTGTGAGGGCATGAAGTGATTTGAAAATGAGTGAGAGGATCTTGAAATCGATCTGTTCAATCATTGGCAGCCAGTGGAGCCTGGCTAGCACTGGTGTGATGGGGTTACGGAGTTTCGTGCAGGTGGTGCATCTGGGCGGCCGAGTTTTGAATGAAATGGATTTTGTATATGGTGGAGCTGGGGAGTCCAGTGAGGAGGGCATTGGAATAGTCCAGGCTGGGAAGTGGGGGCAGTGAGTCATCCCATTCAGCTCCTGTTAACCCAGCAAGCCAAAGCCCTAACGGGTTGGGTAGTCCTAGCTGGACAAGCAGTGCCAGACAATAATATCAATGGAAAGCTATGTGTTTTTAGCTGGTTAGACTCCATCAGTACCCGAACGCACTCTGGGGTCCTCAAGCCTTGGCTCTCGCCAAATGCGCCTTATACTTTCCGAAATTAGGTAAGCAGGATGCGTCTCTCCAGGGAGAGTGTATGCATTCCACTCCAAAATCTATCTCCGGGATTTCCATGTGTAGGTGGGATGCATGGAAATCTCAGCTTGGTTTGGATACTACTTAGAACAGTGATGGGTTTCTGAAGAAATGAAATATGTGTTTGTTTTAAAAAGTACAACTTTTTTTTTAGAAAAGGCTGCCTATACTGGAGCAGAATTTTACTGAAAAGCGGCACTGTTTTGTGTGAGAGGTTGTGGGTAAAGATTTTTTACCATCAACTACATTTAGGCTGATTACTCTTTGAAGCACAAAAGACCATTGGATTTCTCATGAATGTTGCCAGCTCCACTCCTGAAATTCTTGAGTAGAAGAGGATAGTCTGCCTGATTCAGAGCCAAACCCTTGTTTTGAGGCAAGAAACAACATTTATTGATAATGAATTTAATGAGCTTGGGATTCATAGCAAGCACGAGCCCTAACTCACTTGACACAACTTTATCAAACATTCGCAGCACGAAGCACATCCTCGGCAACTCAGGGGGCTTAAACAGACAACTTGCCTAAAGTACTTTGGTTGCAGGAAAACAGCATGAAGCCATTGGGACAGGAGAAACCAAGAGAGAAACTGATGAATCAGAAAGATACCACTAGGGTTCAGCTGTCTAATAGCATATTGTAAATTCATGGCCTGCTCTCACAGAATGATTGAAAGCAGCTACAGGTGGCACTCTTGACTCATACTTGTGGAATCCTGGCTAGAGTGCTCGCCTCACAAGTGAGAGGTCTTAGATTCGATTCCTGGGCATTCCCGAAACCTTAGGCAAGTTTCACGACTCCACACGCCTCTGTTTACCGAGCAGTAAGTAGGAACCTAGTATTAGTCGATTGGGGAATTGCTTTTCCGGGGATAATAATCCCTTCTAGAAAAAAAATTATTTTGTCACCAATCCATGACTATGGGACACTGCTGTGCGCAATTTTCTGTCGTGTCTCGTTATAAAATATACAATCAATTAACTTTACTGTAGATTCTGTGAAGTGCTTTGAGACGTCTCGAAGATGTGATAAAACGTTATATCAAATGCAAGGATTATTATAAGGATTAATATTATTATATGTAGTAGGGTATAATAATAATAAATTGATCACTTCAATCCACAGCTGTTTGTGGGACACTGCTGTGTGCAATTGGCTGCCACAAAATATACAGTCAATTCACTTTGCAGTATATTTTGTGAAGTGCTTTGAGACGTCTCGAAGACGTGATAAGGTGCTATATCAAATGCAAGGATTATTATTACAGTAAAATTCCCTGTTCAACAGCTTCCATTCAAGTGCCTTTCATATAAAAGTAACAAAGATGTTATTAAAAATCAAGTGAATATTATGCACTCAAACGTTGCAGCTAATTTGGACCAGCAATATCTTACAATGAGGCTCAAAATTCTTCTAAATCTAACCTGTAAGGCAATTTTGCCATGTGAATTTATAATCATAGAGAATTGTGTAAACTTCTTAAATTCAGTTTTAACTTAAAGCCAGTACTTCTTATAAATTATGGAAAACCGACTTCCAAAGTAAGATTGAAGTAAGCAGTTTCCATGATCTTAAATCTGCTCTTCCAGCTTACACCACGTGGAATTTTAGGCCTAAGTTGGGTCCTAAAAGGCAGCAAGGGGAAAAACTGCCCACTTTTCCTTGAAGTACCAGCAGATCTTAACGTTCACCTGAATCACAAGGCAGATATGCTAAATGCTAAATATCTCACTTGAAGCAATGATGATTATTTGGGGAATAATAAATCTGAATTTAATATGCTTTAAGATTTAATTTAATATTCGTACCCCCACACCCCCTTGATTTGAATCTCCACCTCAAGTGCAGGCAATTCACTGTCCAGCAGCTTGGGACGTTCTCTCGACATGAAAGGTGCTCTATAAATGCAATTTGTTGTTGTTGCTGGTTTCAATGCCTGCTCCAGAATACTATTTGCACTACTGTAGACTTTAAAATCAGCTTTTGGGAATAATTATCCTTACATTTAATATAGCATCTTATCGTGTGGCTGAGGCACTTCACAGAATATATTGTAAAGTGGATTGCCTGTGTATGTTGTGGTCGAAACACGGAAGCCAACTGCGCACAGCATTTATTATTATTATGATGAATATATAGAGTACTCATATGGCATTATATTCTAACTAAAGAAATCTGTACCATCAAATGCTTTAATGGTACAATAAATGTGATGAATTCAGAATTAAAATATGCTGAAATTATTTCCACTCAAATGAAAATAAAATAAAATGTGAGACATTTAGTAAAAAGGGAGCAATTTTTTTTGCATCCAAATATTTTGCATGGTTGGAATTTTTTTTTAAAAATGTTTTGGGCAGGGTCATAGTGCAACTTCTAGTATCATATTGTGTAATTGCAAGACATCCAAGTCTACATAGATGCTATTTAACTCTGTTTAATTGAGTTTGTTTGTAAACTTAAATAATTCATTCAGTGAAAGTAGAAGAATAGCTTTGTAATTTATTTATGAAGTGAGAAACACATCAAACAGATTGTTGTAAGAAAGCAAGCCCTGTTTATTCTGGCAGTTGGTGTAGCCTTTTATTATGCTGGATGTTAAAATGAATGCACTCAGTTGCATTTCCAGACGTGCGAGGGGTAGGTCACCTCACGGAAACAAAGGCAGAATCAATCATGAAACATGACAAGAGTACAAACCAAACTGAGAATTATTGTTATTAACCCACACTTCAGAAGATATATGTGCTGGATTTAAATACTGCTTCCTCTCCCACCGTGTCTGTTACACACAGAAACACTGCCTCAGGTTGCTTATATCAGGATGGTGCAACCTTTCGGCTGACGCGGGCCGGATTCCGTATTTGAGAAAGGTCTGTGGGCCACATCCAGCCCACAACCATTTCCAACATTTCAACTTCTGCTCCCTCCCTCCCCGGTGAATGTCCTCCCAGGGCAGCGACAGGAGCTGTCGGCTGGGAGGACGTGGCGCAGAGAGTGGAAATAATACCAGCCGTTACTGCAGTCTGTCAGGAAGGCAAGCGGGTCTCTTATCAACCACGCATCCTTAGCAACAACCGTGCAGATGGTGAACCATGCGGCTGATTGGGAGAGAGAGGAATTGAGAGGGGAGAGAGTGGTGTGTGGGGGAGAGAGAATCGGGGGAGATGGGATGAGAGGAGAGTGAGGAAGTGGTCAGAGAGGGGGGACAGTGATGGGGGGACAGAGATGGGGGGACAGAGGGGGAGTGGGATACTCTCCCCTTTTCTCCACTCTCTCTCCACACACTCTCTCAATTACTCTCTCACAACACTTCTCACACCATTTCACCCTGTTTCTTCCCTTTCACACTCCACCTGCCCCCACCTTCTCTCTCCCTTTCTCTCTCCTTCTCCCTCACATTCACTCTCCTCCATCACATTCACTCTCTCCTCCCCTCAAGACTCTCTCCCCATCCCTCTCTCTCCCTCCCCGCCTCTCTCTCCGTCCACCCCATCTCTCCCCCTCATCTCAATCCCCCTCTCTCCCAATCAGTCACGGGCTCCACTATCTGCACGGCGGTTGTTGTTATTGTTATGTATGTATAGCCTGGATCCAAGTATCAAGTGTGAACGGTTATTAAAAAAACAACAGAAACATTTCTTTTGCAGAGGGAATTACTCTCTGCTGCACAAGATCACAGGATGAAAGTTCCTGCCTACCTTATCTTAGCCCACATGTCACTACAGTGCAGCGAGCACGAATTCACAAGGC